GGAGGGAATATTAGCCTTACTCTCTGCTTCACTTGGAATCTACAAATCTTGGAAAGTTGGAAAGTGTTTTAAGTTTGTATAAGACTCATTTGTGACAAAACTTGGGGACTTCCCAGGTGGCTCAGTGGTAAAGAATTTGCCTTCCAATGCATGAGACCAGAGTTTGATTCCTGGGTTGGGAAGATTCCCCTGGAGAAGGAAATGGCAACCCACTCTAGTATTCTTGCCCAAGAAATCCCATAGCAGAAGAGCCTGGTGGGGTACAGTCCATGGGGTCACAAAAGAGTCAGACACGACTTGGAGACTAAACAAAAACGATGACAGAACTTGACCAGAACACACTTGAGATTATACTTTCTATCCCCACTTCAGTGCAAGTGTGGGTACATTTCACTGCAGAAATAGAAGTGTTTGACTGTGGCCTATTGCCCCAGGCCCAGGGCAGGCATGTAATACTACTGGAAAGCCTGAGAGCTGCCGCTAATGAAGCTTCCAGTGGAGATCCCATCAACAGGCACACTTTATCCAATCAGGCCTTTAAATGCTTTACTGTCCTTGATCCTATAAAAGGGAGGAGCCTCGGGCGGACACATCAGATGAACTCAGTGGAGAAGGGGAGTCATACGGGGAAGAGTCCTCAGCCTTCAGCTCAGGGTCACCCAGCGTGGAGTCCAGTCTTCTGGGGGAGGTGAGTTTCCTGAACAAAAGGAAAATTTGCCATTTCATGTGTGTGGGTGAGTGTGCACTCCTGTGTTTGGACACATAGCTCTGGGGAGAAAATTCCTAGATACAAAGACATGGATGCCTCACGGGCATGGGGGATGGTCTGTTAGAACCACTGATCAGGCTGTGCAAAATCTGGCCCAACTGAAGCCAGCTTCTCCTAGGAAAGTCTGTGTCTGGCATGGTTTTTTTAATTTTTTTCAGTCACTAAATCATGTCCAACTCTTTGCGACCCCATGTCTCTAGCCTGCCAGGTTCCTCTGTCCATGGGGTTCTCCAGGCAAGAATACTAGAATGGGTTGCCATTTCCTTCTCCAGGGGATCTTTATGACTCAGATCAAACCCACGTCTCTTGTATTGGCAGGCAAATTCTCTACTGCTGAACCCCCAGGGAAGCCCCCTGGAGGTCCGGATGGAAGTGGAGGTTCGGATGGAAGTGGAGGTTCATGGCCAATTGAGGTGAGGGTGGGGCTGAAAGTGAAAGGGTGTGTATCAGTTACTTAGTGGACTTTTACTCTGTGCTTACCATGTGCCAGTGAATACTCCATGTGCTTCATATGTAGTAATTATTTTGGTTCTTGTGGCAATTCTGAACTGGGTGTCCTTAGAGATCAGAGCCCCCATGACAAGGATGGAGGCCTGATGGCATCATGTATGGGATCACACAGCTTGGAAATTCCAGGCTCCTGATTAAGAACACTGGCAATATGGGGTGGGGGAAGGATAGTTGTTTTGTTTTCTCTTGAGATATAATAGCCATATATATTGTATTAGTTTCAGACGTACTACATATGACATGATATTTGCATGCATTGGGAAATAAATCACCACAATAAGTCTAGTTAGCATACATCAGCATACATCATTACATTTCTTTTTCTTGTGATGAAAATACAACAATTTTGTATTCCAAAAGTTGTCTAAATATGACAATTTCGAATTCCAAGTCTTAGCCATAATGCTGCTCCCCAGCCTTGCTTGTGTGAAATTGAGTGCATGGCTGCAAATGTGACCATGTGGTCTGTGTATGCCTGGAGAAGTCCACAAAGAGAACACATCGGACTTAGTTGTTTTGTTTTCTCTTGAGATATAATAGCCATATATATTGTATTAGTTTCAGACGTACTACATATGACATGATAGTTGCATGCACTGGGAAATAAATCACCACAATAAGTCTAGTTGGCACACATCAGCATATATCATTACATTTCTTTTTCTTGTGATGAAAATACGACAATTTTGTATTCCAAAAGTTGTCTAAATATGACAATTTCGAATTCCAAGTCTTAGCCATAATGCTGCTCCGCAGCCTTGCTTGTGTGAAATTGAGTGCATGGCTGCAAATGTGACCATGTGGTCTGTGTATGCTTGGAGAAGTCCACAAAGAAAACACATCGGACTTCTCTGGCCATCCAGTGGTAAAGACTCAGAGCTTCCAATGCATGGAGTGTGGGTTTGATCCCTGGTTGGGGAACTAAGATCCCACATGCCACATGGCCAAAGAAAAGAGAACTCATACGGAGTCCCAGGGGTATTACACCAGAAAAAAAACAACAACAACAACAATAGACACCAATGAACATGGATGTAGGTAACTAGCCACCACACCTAAGATGGGGTGGGAGGGGTGAGGACAAGCAGAGGCAAAGCCTGGTGGAATCAGGAAGGACTTGGTGCTTTTCACTGAGAGCAAGAGGGAGCCATAGAGGAAATTTTAAGTGGAGCAGTGGAGTCTGACCTAAGCAGATTAGCATTTTAATGAGGTTGACTGAATTGGTGTGATAAGTGGATCCTTGTTGTTCCTGTTTAGACACACTGAGTCCTGTCCAACTCTTTTGAGACCTGGTGGTCTGTAGCCCGCCACGTTCCTCTGTCCATGGAGTTCTCTGAGCAAGAAGGTTGGAGTGGGTTACCATTTTCTTCTCCAGATCTTCCCGACTCAGGGATCAAACCCAAATCTCTTCTGTCTCTGCATTGGCGATTATCACTGAGCCAGAAGCCCTGATTAGGGGAGGGCAAAGATGTGTTCAGTGTTCTCCTATAGGGTTTTTCCTAGAATCATCTTTGCCTCATTCACTGATGAGATCAGGGCGGCTAATCTGATCAGATCACCAGGTGAGGTTCACACAAAGCATGATATCAGTTAACAGAAATTAATTAGGTATTTGGAAGCCCACATATCAATCCCAACAAACACCCCCACTTTCTAATCTTGTGGCATGAATTTACTTAAAAAAAAAAACAAAAAAACAAATCCAGAGACTTCCCTGGCAGTCCAGTGGTTAAGATTCTGTGCTTTCACTGCTGAAGGCATAGGTTCAAGTCCAAGACTCATGGCTGAACCAAAAAAGTAAATAATCTTTGAAATGTTAATCATATAGAAAAATAAAAGAAAACACAATTAGAACAATAATATAGTAAGAGGATTAAATCTTTTGTTTGACATTCCAAGGGATGTGCCTATGGTTCTTGTTTAGTTACTCAGTCTTGTCTGACTCTTTGCAACCCCATGGACTATAGCTCACCAGGCTCCTCTCTCCATGAAGTTTCCCAGGCAAGAATATTGGAGTGGGTTGCCATGCCCTTCTCCAGAGGATCTTCTTGACCCTGGGATCAAATTTGAGTCTCCAGCTGGGCAGGCAGTTTCTTTACCTCTGAACCACCAGGGAAGCCTGTGCCTATGGTTGCCCAGATCATATGCTTTACAGTTACAAATCAGTATTGAGCAATGCAAGCTTCACCTCTGAATCCTACACTCCAGTGGAAAAGGACAGGCATTAGAGACAGATCAATATAAAATTATTACTTTGATAATATCAGTGAAGCAAAGACAAATGTTTTTCATAAGGAAGGTAATTGTTGATAGAAAAAGAGAGAAGAGGTGAAATTAAAGGGAAAATTTTTAAAGGAATGTATCATCAAGCTGACACAGGGTATAGCTGGGCTGGGCCTGCAGACTTGTGTCTGCTGTAGGAGTTTCCAACCCAAGATGATCATGTGTATGGATTCCAGCCTGCCTATTTCATTCACTTTATTGTCCTTTTTTTGTAATAGTTTGTTTTCTTATAATAACTGAAGGGATATCTTTGTATTGATACTAGATCATTGCCTTCATTCAGTTCAGTCAATTCCAATTATGATTTAAGACTCATTTATCATTTTAAAATAATTATTTTGCTTTCTTTATTTGACCACACTGGGTCTGAGTTGTGGCATGCAGGAGGATCTTGTTCCCTGACCAGGGATGGAACCCCGACACCCTGCATTGAGAGTGTTGAGCCTTAGTCACTGGACCACGAAGGAAGTACCCCCATTTCCTGTTTAAATCTTTTAAAAAACTATTTACTTGTTTATTTTTATTTTTTGGTTGCGCTGGGTCGTTGTTGCTCTGCTTGGGCTTTCTCTAGTTGTGGTGCACAGGCTTCTCATTGCAGTGGGTTCTTCTGTTGTGGAGGACAGGCTCCAGGCTCACAGGCTTCAGCAGTTGCAGCACGCAGGCTGAGTAGTCATGGTACCCAGGCTTCATTGCTCTGTGGCATGTAGAATATTCCTGGACCATGGATCGAACCTGTGTGCCCTGCATTGACAGGGGGGTTGTTACCCACTGTACCACCAGGGAAGTCCACCCCTCCTTATTATTTTAAGTTAAGTTGAATGTTTTCATTGAAATGTAATGCACACACAGAAAAAAGAAAAAGTGAAAGTGTATATATATATATATATATATATATATAGCTTAGCTTGGTGGATTTTGACAGAGAAACATTCCTGTATAACTCCCTCTGAGATCAAGAGGTAGACTGTCGCCCACTAAAACTGGAAGTTCAACATCCCAGGAACTCTCTTATTAGTCCCAGGCAAACTGGGATGGGGTCCTCCATAAGTACCTATTCCAGGATCTACCAGTGTTTCCAAAAATGTAACCAACATCCTAAATAATATTGATAATACTTAAATGCTTTTCAATGAACATGAATGAGAAGAAACAAAATGTATAGTTTAGTGCCTGGATTATTTAATTTAACACTGTGTTTTGTGATTATTCTATGTTGTTGAATAGAGGAGTTCATTTCTTCTCAGTCTATAAAATATACCTTGACATCAATTAATTGTAATCTGTCCCATTTAATGCTGGACACTTAGATTATTTACAGCATGGAAATATTATTAATTATGTTGATATAAACATTCTTGTATATGTCTGTGATGCACATGAATATATTTGTCTGTTGAGTACAGGCAGAGAAGTAAAACTGATGAGTCACAGGGAATGCATAAATACAGATTTATTACATACTAATCAAAGCATTTCCAATGTGAGGTCTCACCAGCAGTGATTGAGAGTTCCAGGTCCTCCAATCCATGCCACAGCTAACTATTTTATTCTAGTGCTTCTGGGAGGTAGTGATTTTGTAGCTTGTTGTTGTAGTTTTATTTTACATTTCTGGGATTACTAATAATGTTGCCATTTTCTCCATTTGTTTATTCACTAAATATCTAGTAGAATTGGTCCATGAACTCAGTTGAACCTGGATTTTTCTTGTTTCTTTTCAACTATGACAGTGTTGTAGTTAACTACATACTTCTTCTGTCTCTAGCTTTGCAGTCCTTAAACATCTACCTGTTGTTGAAAGAGATTGCCAGAGAAACAAGTCAGTGGAGACTGAATCCCTCAAGTTGCAGCTCTCTGAGAATTCTTGTTAAGAATGGCTTCAGACCGCAGAATCTCCTTTGAAGGTGAACCATCCAGGAGGGATCCTGGGTCAGAAAATTCACCCACCCAAGGATCTGCCTTCCAGGAGGAAGAGGGGATCCCTGAGTTCCCCAGCACTCAGCTCAACTTACTTCGAGACAGCAATAACTCAAGTGCAAGACAAGAACTGCAAAGACTCTATCACTTATTTCACTCATGGCTGCAGCCAGAAAAACACAGCAAGGATGAAATAATTTCTCATCTGGTCCTGGAACAGTTTATGATCAATGGGCACTGCAGTGACAGGTCCACTTTACAGGAGAAATGGAATGCAAGTGGCAGAAACCTGGAGAAACTCATGGAGGATCTGACGGACGATGGCATGAAGACACCCGGCTTAGTAAGTAGGGGTTCTGACCCAGAGTGAGGGACGTGGGAGTGTCAGGAGTAAGTAGTCTGTTGGAGTTACCTGGAAGTAGAGAAAGAAGAGTTATTATAGATGGTAACCAGGCTTTGTTCACAGGTCCACGTCCACATGCAGGGACAGGAAGCCCTCTTTTGTGAGAATATGCCCTTAAGACAAGTCATCATTCACTTCACAAAACAGTTGTCGACAGGAACCCCAACAAGAGAGAATGCGGGGACAACCTCCTGGACTCCTCAAGATACGTCCCTAGAAACAGGACAAAGTGAGTGGGCAGAGCCCAGGTCCCAGCCGGGTGGCCCATGTGGGCTCTTTCTTGGGTGTAACTTCACTGAGTCACTTTTTCGCCCCCTACAGGAAATGAAGATAAAGAAAATGATGGCAATATTTCTGTGAAAACTCATCAAGTAAGTGACAGCATTACTGGTCCAAGCAATCAAATACCTTCCCTACTCATTGTCCAAGAAGAGAACCGTCCGAGGCTGGAAGAAGGAGGCGTTTCTCTGGAGAATCCACGAAGCTCCAGAAGAGGAGCAAGTCCAGGCCCCTTCAGGCTTCAGGACAGATTCCGGAAAGGACCCTCTTCTCAAGATGTCCTCATGGAGGTGGAACCAGACCAGGTCACCCCTGAGCCTGTTTCTACACGTGGGGAAGACCAGGAAAGATCCCATAGAGCCCCAGAAGTATACAGATGTGAGAGATGTCCCAAGACCTTCAGGCATTCCTCTCGGCTCAGAGTTCACCAGAAAAGACACAATAATGAGAGGACATATATTTGTGCCGAGTGTGGCAAAGGCTTCTTCCAGGCATCAGACCTCCACGTGCATCAGAGGATTCACACAGGAGAGAAGCCCTTCGCGTGCAGCACCTGTGAAATGGCCTTCACCCACAAGACCAACCTTCGGGCTCATGAGAGAACCCACACGGGAGAGAAGCCCTATGAGTGTTCCCTCTGCCAGAGATGCTTCCGCCAGTCCTCCACCTACCACCGCCATCTTAGGTTTCACCAGAAAACTACCCTCAAAAGTGCTCCACACTAAATTAAGCTTTCTAGGCTACAGCCCCAATGTAATGGATATAAATATGTATGTGAATATGTAGATTTCATAGTATTTCTCTATTTAGAATATACTTTATAAAAATAATTAAAAGAAAAAAGAAAAAAGTGGGGGCTTTCCTGACAGTCCAGTGGTTTGGACTCTGTGCTTCCACTAGAGGACATGGGTTCCATCCCTGGTCAGGGAACTAAGATCCCAAATGCTGCACCATGCCACCCAAAAAAAGTACAAATTAAAAAATAGGAAAAAAAAAAGGAAAAGAAGAAAATGTTAAATAGAATTTTCTAACTGTATTTTTCATTTATTGTTTCACCCTCCCAAAATGCAAGTTTATGGAGGGCAGGGAATTTCTCAGTTTTGTTAACTTAAGTACCTTGGTTGCTAGACAAGTGTCTGGAACATTTCAAATAAACAATAATGTCTCTCAAATGAATGGATGTGTTATATTGGTGTTTATTCTTTAAACTTTAGACATGTGCCTCATGTGAGAAGACAGTTAGTTCCAAGCCCAGGACTCAAACGCTAGCTCGAAGCGGTCCCTTCAGACCTTCCCTGCCTGCTCCCCTGTCCTCCACTCAGCACCCTTTACCTCTAGTGCGTCCACAGGCACCTAAGAAAGGTGAGCAGAGATGGACACTCAGAAAAGAAGCCTACCCGAAGAAAGGAACACTTTATATTTTAAAAATATATAATCATTTCTTAAATTCAGTGGCTTAAAATTTGATAGGTAAACTGGACGTAAATAAGACTGGTACTGAAAGTTGCAGGATGCAATTTTATTAACAAATGCCAGAAAAGTCCAATGTGTTCCATTAATTTCTTCCAGTAGATGAAGCTTATGGGTGTAGAGGGAGCTTACTCGCAGAATCAGTTTGAAAGTTCACTTTGGAAAAAGTGGATTCTGTGTACAGCCAAGGCAAAGGCATATATGCCAGTTACTTGGAATTCATTTGTGAACTGGTTTCCAGTAGGAAATTAGGGTTCAGTTTCACTGAGAAACTGGAAGGTGCCACATAGAAATGCCTGAATTCTGGAATGGGTAAATCTGACATCTCTCTGATTCCCTTGATACTTCCATAGAAGGGAGAACTACCTGGGTGTGGATAGTGTGGAGATGCTCCAGATAAATGTAGAGAAGCCCTCCTTTAAAAAAAAAAAAAAAAGCATTGCCATCTCTGAAGGAAAGCTTTAGAAGAACGGTTTTTTTTTAGAATAACTATTTTCTTAATTTATTTTTTAGTTGTGCCAGGTTTTCATTTCTGCACATGGGTTTTCTCTAGTTCACTAAGCAGGAACATTTTCCTTGTGGTGCAAAGGCTTCTCATTGTGTTGGCTTCTCTTGTTGTGGAGAACCGGCTCCAGAGCACAGGCTCAGTAGTTGTGGCATACAGGTTTAGTTTTCCCTTGGCATGTGAACTCTTCTTGGACCAGAGATCAAACCCATGTTCCCTGCATTGGCAGGCAGGTTCTTATCCACTGGACCACCAGGGAAGTTCTATCCATCTTCTTGCCTGGGCTGTCTCCAAGTGTTTTGCTACTGTGAATATCCTTGAAAATCTTGGTATTAAAGAAGGCTTTTCTTTGGAAAGACCTCTGGGATGTGGGCTGTGAAACATAGCAAAAATACATGTATTGGAGTCTTCCCAGTTCCCCAGAACAGAGCTCGGAAAACTCTTGTATTTTCCTAAGAGAATAAAAACACAAGGAGCATCTTCTGTTCTACTCTTTGGTTTTGGACTCTGGCTCCTGATACAGAAGCAGTTAATGCTTTGAAATTTCTAGGTTGAAAGGAGTGTCTTTTCATCTCTTAGTGAGGTGATGCTTGGTGGGTTCCTAGATGGCTTCAGGATGGGGGCTCATCACTGGAAAGACCAAACCATGATTAGAAACTTGGAACATTTAGCTCCACCCCGCCATCCTTCTGGAAGTGGAGAGGGACTGGAGATTTAGTTAATCATGGATCATGCTTTTTTAAGTTCAGGACTTGGAGTTCTTCCCAGCTAAAGAACACATCCATGTGCCAGGCGGGTGGCAGGTCCCAACTCTACAGGGATAGAAGCTCCTGTGCTCAAAGACCCTTCCCAATCTTTCTGTACCTCGTCATCTGAAAGTTCATCTGTATCCTTTGGCACTTCCCTTACAATATAGTAAACTGGTTAAGTAAGCATTTCCCTGACTTCTGGGAACTGATCTAGCAAATGATCAAATTCAAGGAGGGTGATCAGAGGAAACTGACTTGCAACCAAATCGGACAGAACTTGTGGGTAATGGGGAACCACTCTTTGCAACTGGCCTCTGAAGTGGGATCCAGTCTTGTGGGACTGAGCTCTTAACCTGAGAGATTTGCACTAGGTGCAGTTAGTGTCAGAAAGACACCCAGGTGGTGTCACAGAGAACTGGTTGTTGTGAGAAAAAAAAAAGTCACACTTCTGGTGTCAGAAGTGTTGAGGGTGGTTACTTGAAAAAAACATGTGATTTCCCTGGTGGTTAGTGGTTAAGAAGCTGCCTTACAATGCAAAGGACACTGGTTCAACTCCTGATTTGGGAAGATCCCACATGCCGCAGGGCAATTAAGTTGGTTCACCACAATCACTGAGCCAACACTCTGGAGTCTGTGCTCTGCAACAAGAGAAGCCACCACAGTGAGAAGTCTGGGCACCTCAACTAGAGGTAGACCCCATTCTCTGCAATGAGAGAAAGCCTGCAAGAAGCAACGAAGACCGAGCACAGCCAAAAATAAGAGTAAATTTAAAAAAAAAAAGATACAGGCACACCAGTTTTCATAGCAACACTGCATACAGTAACCAAGATATGGAAGCCTCCTAAGTGCCATCAACACACGAATGAATAAAGAAGACGTGGGATATATTTGTTGTTGTTTGGTCACTCAGTCATATCAGATGTTTTGCGGCCCCATGGACTGTAGCCCACCAGCCTTCACTGTCCATGGGATTTTCCAGGCAAAAATACTGGAGTGGGTTGGCATTTCCTTCTCCAGAGGATCATCCCAACCCAGGGATCTGGGGGAAAGATGCATAGAGACAAACTACTATGTGAAAAATAAATAAGCAACCAGGATATATTGTACAGCACAGGAAAATATAGCCACTATATTGTAATAACTTTAAATGAAGTATAATCTATAAAAATATTGGATCACCATTGTATTGAATCACACCTGAAACTAATATAATATGGTAAATCAACAATACTTCAATAAGAAAAAAATAGTGTCGAGTATGATAGCAGTGTAAAAGTAAAGGAAAAACAAGTATTTCTCAGATTCTTGGAGGCAAACATTTTCAAATTGATTTTTATCCATTACCTCATCATTAGCAGTATTAAAGACCTTGGATGTCCACGTCTTGCGAAATGTTTAGTATTGTGACTAGTCTGATTTTTTTTTCCATTTATTTTTATTAGTTGGAGGCTAATTCCTTTACAATATTGTAGTGGCTTTTGCCATACATTGACATGAGTCAGCCATGGATTTACATGTATTCCCCACCCCAATCCCCCCTCCCACCTCCCTCTCCACCGGATCCCTCTGGGTCTTCCCAGTGCACCAGCCCCAAGCACTTGTCTTATGCATCCAACCTGGGCTGGTGATCTGTTTCACCCTAGTTGGATTTTAATACCTGACCTTTGAGTACAGTTCATCGGAATCAGCAAGTAAGATAAATAAAATTGTTTTTCCCAAAAAAGAGTTTTTCTCTTCCTCCTCTACTTAGGCAACATGGTTGAGCTTTGCAGGTTAAATGCACAGTCGACATGTCTCCTTGACAAACCAGTTGCCTGTCCGACTCTACTTGGCACCATACAGGCAGGGAAATCATAAACAGAAAGGGTGCAGGGCCTCCACCCAGCTCCAATCCCAGTGGTTACAGGCAGAGTTCAGCAATACAAAGGTGGGCTCCCGCTGGTCACCTCCTGTGCATTTGGCTGAGGTGGGGACTGTGCTGTGAGTGCAGATTAGCACATTTGGGGAGTTTGTTATTTTTGTCTGTGCTAGGTCTTCCTTCCTGCGACTGTGTTTTCTCTAGTTATGTGAACGGGTTCTACAGTGCGGGCTCAGAAGTTGTGGCACCCAAGCTTAGTTGCTCCGCTGCATGTGGGATCTTCCAGAACCAGGGATCGAATCCGCGCCCCCGCATTTGAGGGCGGATTCTTAACCACTGGGCAATGGGGAAGTCTGGGAGTTTCTGCAGACACAGCTTCTACAAAACTTAGAACCCCTGTAGCGAAAGCATGCAGTCTTAACCACTGGGCCGCCAGGGAAGTCTCGTGACAATATCTTTACAGGGTGAACTTCATTTAAAGTTATTACAAAATAGTGGCCATACTTCTCCGTGCTGCGGTGAACTTTCCCTCGCCTAGGTGGCTGTCGGGCAGGTTTCTCTAACGCTAGCTTGCACAGCTGCGGGAACTACAGCAACCAGAGGGCGATGCGCCGAAAGGTGGCGGAGTTGAGATAATTAAAGCCCAGGACTGAAGCATTTCCCTGCGTGGGCTTGGCGTGGGGGCGGGACATCCGGCGTCCTCCTTGTGGCGGTCGGTTTGCCTTGTTTCAGGTCGGGTTTGGAGAAGGAAATGACAACCCACTCCAGTATTCTTGCCTGGAGAATCCCATGGGCAGAGGAGCCTGGCAGGCCACGGTCCACAGAGTCGCAGAAAGTCGGACACGACTGAAGCGACTGAGCACGCACTCACGCAGGTCAGATTGCCAGCTTAGAGGTTCAGAGCCAGGGATCCTAAACAAGAAGGAGCCGGAGGCTTCCGCAGAGGCCGGTCCAAGATTTGGAGGCGGCACACCTCGTGAAAGTGAAGGTCGTTCAGTCGTGTCTGACTCTTTGCGACCCCATGGACTAGAGTCCATGGAATTCTCCAGGCCAGAATACTGGAGTGGGTAGCCGTTCCCTTCTCCGGGGGATCTTCCCAAGCCAAGGATGGAACCCAGGTCTCCCACATTGCAGGCCGGATTCTTTACCAGCTGAGCCGCCAGGCGGCGTACCTCGGGGCGACCCAAAACAGGCTGAGCTCCAGATCTCCGCGCCTTACAGACTCCGCTCCATCCAGAGTCCGATGGCGGCGGCGGCGACGCTGTGGGACCCACCACAGGTAAACGAAACGTTCGTCCTCCGAGCAGTCACCGCCCTCGCCACACCAGACTGGGTCCCCGAGCGCCCGCAGCCCAGGCTGTAAGGTATAGTTCACGACGAGGCAATGAAGAAAGGAAGACGACCTCAACGGAGACAGGTTACCTTATTCAGGCAAGAAGGGGAGACTGTCGGTCTAACGGCCAGGCTGAGCACTTGCGGGATCAGGGAGGCTTCATATTTAAGGGGAGGTTTTGCGGAAGCTACACGGGAAGATTTAGTCAGGTGGGGCATTCTGGGTATTCCTTAGCTGAGATGGCAGTTTGTGGGTGAACAGGGGCGGGGCGGGCGGAGGGGCGCGGTCCAGGGGGTGGAGGCTCCCGGGCTGACGCAGTCTGCCCGGAGTATCGGGGTGGGACTTAAAGTTCAGTTTTGTCATCCCCGAAGTCAGTTGGTTCAGCGAGGGCCCTTGAGGTCGATATATTCCAGGCCCGAGGACTCCTTCATTCCAGACCCTGAAGTCATAAAAAGATGCGGGGAAAGGGCGCCGTATGTCTCCGGCTACTTCGTGCTGGGTCAGAGCGACAGCTCTGGGTCTGGAACGGAGGATTGTACTAGGGCTCAGGGTCCCCATTTTCTGGTGTCGAGGTGAGGCTCTCAAGAATGGTCTTGACCTGGCCTTGAAAGATGGCCCAAATCCGATCTTGGAGAAACCTTTGAAAGAGATTGAAGAAACAGGGTCCAAGTTAGAGGAGTAAGATAATAAGTAGTAATGGTCCCAAGAAAGGGAGCAACCAAGGGAGGGCCAGTTGGAACAGGCTTTGGGGAGTGGAAAGATTTTGTAACTCTTTTTTGCGGCGTTGCATTCTGTCTCTTAAGTTCCCACATTGCAGGCCGGATTCTTTACCAGCTGAGCCACCAGGCGGCGTACCTCGGGGCAACCCAAAACAGTCAAGAGATCCAGATCTCTGCGTCTTACAGACCCTGCTCCATCCAGAGTCCGATGGCAGTGGTGACGACTCTAAGGGACCCACCACAGGTAAACGAAACGTTCGTCTTCCCACCACCCTCGCCACACCAGACGGTAAATCCCCGAGTGCCCGCAGCCCAGGCTCCAGGGCCCAGGACAGTGGGGCGGTAGTGGCTGGAGCCTTGTGGCTGACAGACGGTGTTGGGGCTCAGACGTTTGAGCTCATCTGGGTCCTGGGCTCGCCAAGGGTACTAAGCGTCCTGAGCCAAGGATGCTGGCCGTGGTTGTCTCAAATTCTCAAATGACCTCCCTTTTCCCACAGATTTATGTATCATGGAATCACTGAGTGATAGTCGTTTGTGCAGTTTATTTCAGGGTCTCCTTAGTCCTCACCCCACTCTTATGGTCTCTGGAATAATAGCGTCCTGGTATTGTTCTGCCACTCTTCCAGGCCTTGGGCCTGGGGACCATGAACACATTCCAGGCCTAGAGTTAGATAGAGTGGTTTCCATTGTTGGCAACCAGTCGAAGGAGATAAGGAAAGTACCAGCTTAGGCATAAATACCAGAAAGTACAAAGTCCTGGAGGTGGGGGTAGAGATAATTCAGAGACCTGCAGGTATCTTTTCTTTCTCATGGGACTGGGAGCAGTAGAGCAGGAGGTAGTTCTGGAAGTGCCTTGTGAGAATTGGATGTCTCCTCTGGAGGTGGTGGCTCAGATGGTAAAGAAATCTGGCCTGCAATGCAGAAGACCTGGGGTTGGAACCCTGGGTCGGGAAGATCCCCGGGTCGGGAAAATCCCCTTGAGTAGGGAATGGCAACCTACTCCAGTATTTTTGCTGGGAGAATTCCATGGACAGAGGAGCCTGGTGGGCTATAGTCCATGGGGTCGCAAAGAGTGGGACACTACTGAGCGACTAATACTTTCTGAAGGTGTTGGTAGCAATGAGAGATTTGGAGCAGTGGAGACAGGTGATCTGCCCTGGGCCGCAACCCACTCTGTGTTGCTGCAGCATTGAGAACAGTACTGGCCTCAGGGTGGTCATCAGAAGGGCAAGGAGGAGGATACTGCTATAGTCTGGGTGAGGGTGCTAGTTGCTGGACCAGGGTGGTGGCCATGGGAGAAGTGGCTGGATTCTGGATTGGTGTTTTAGGTATGGCAACTTGGATTTTCTGATTTTGAGGTTGAGAGGAGGAGAGGTAGGAGTCATGGGTCAAGTGAAAGTTTGGTTTTTGCATCTGAAGCCTCCACCAACTGAGATGGGGAAGTCCATAGTCATGGTAATTTTCATTGAGGATATCAGAAGTTTTATTCTTGGCTTCTTAAGGGTATGAGATGTTTCAGAGGACAGTTTGTGGGCATCTGGGACTCTGAGGAGGAGTTTGGGATGCAGGCTTATCCAAAAGGTAGTGGAGAGTGTGTAGGTGAGGGAGGAGTTGTAGATCGTTTTATTATAGGAAATCTTGGTCAGGATGATAAAGGTAATCATAGCCCAGGAAGAAGAGGGAGGGTCTAAGGACTGGGTTTCTTACTTGAACCCCTGGTTATGGGAGGTGGGTGTCACTGCACAGGTGAGGGAGGTGGTCACAGAGAGGGTTGTGAGGGCAAATGGTTTGGCATACAACCAAGGTCTCTGAGGGATCAGTGGATGTGAGCTGGATGCAGAGGCATTATCAGCATTTCAAAGAAGCTGGTGCTCTACCAACTCACCAAGATTTTGTGGTAATCCTTTGTGGGACTTGGGGTGTTCTAGTCTGGCTACCAGATCAGATCTGAGACACAAATAGTCATCTGGAAAAGTCACAGGTGGTGCAAAGGGCAGGTGTCGGGCCTTGAATGAGGGTTAGGTGGTGAGAGGAAAGCTGTGACTAGTGAGGGTTCATCAAATGCAGTACAAGTGGAGGCGGCCATGGATATCTGAGATCTGATGTGGTTCTCAGTAGATGAATTTGAAGCAAGGGACACTCAAGGAAGGAGGCTTTCATAGTAGGACTCTAGGCTGCCTTTGTCAGTGCGGTAGGGAGAAAGCTGGTCATGAAATGAACTATCCCCATCATGGCAAGGCTCTGTGACCTCTGAAGTTGCAGCATACAGCTGCGGGAGCAAAGTGTGGTTCAAAGAATGATGTGCTGGGGAGGGAGGTGGGAGGGAGATTCAGGATGGGGAACACAAGTACACCCATGGCTGATTTGTGTCAGTGTATGACAAAAACCACTACAATATTGTAAAGTACTTAGCCTCCAATTAAAATAAATAAATTAACTAAAAAATTTTTGAAAAAGAAAGGAAAAAAAATCCTGCTTGCAAGGTGGGCCAGGAGCCTGGAATCTTGAATAATAAAGTTTCCTACACTGATAATAAAAAAAAAACCAACAAAGAATGATGTGCATATGAAGAGGTAGTGTGAACTAACGGCCCCAGAACCCTGTTGTGGGGATATAAGGGTGAAGGAAGGACCAGTGTCAGATCATTACACCCTCCCTGTGGCCAGCCTGTCTCCCTAACCTATGTTCGTTACACCCACCTTATTGACAAGAGGTCATGTGGCCTACATCCCAGACCCAGAGGTCAGATGTCACTTGTCTGCTCATCTGCCTGTAGATGTGAGAAAATACAGTATCAGTGAGAATATAAGGAGAGTGACTCTAATGGCATCAAGGCCTGATATCTCCTCTGAATTGTTGGGAAGTAGAGTGAGCAGAGGATAAATTGGTGAGGGGGGTGGGGTGGGGCAGGGCAGGGGGAATGTGGCACAATGAACTTGGAATCCTAGGGGAGAAGCAGATGGTGGAATGAACTGTCTCCATTATGACAGGGTGTGAATTTAAGGATGTGGCCATTGACTTCTCCCGGGAGGAGTGGGGGCTCCTGGATGAGGCACAGAGACTCCTGTACTACAGTGTGATGCTGGAAACCTTTGCACTTGTAGCATCCGTGGGTAAGACCTTCACACCCTTCCTCATGTTCTGAGATGATGTCCTGTTTTCCCCTTTCCCCCTGAATTAGCATTGTCTTTCCCACAGCTGGGCCACAGGCTCTGCTGACTTCCTCCACTTTCTTGTCAGTTGTGCTGTGGATGCCAGCACTGAGCTGTGTGTAGTGCCCTGAGCAGTGGACTCCCCAAGCAGCCCTAACACCTGTTGCCTCCAGAAGTGCAGAGATGGGTCTGGGAGTCAGGAGTCTAGCAGGCCACCTAATGAATCCCATCCTGCTTGCCGTCTCTCTGGTGGAGTGACTATGTCCAGATCCCTGGCCTCCAATTCTTCCCCCTTCTCCTAGCTAAGAGTTCTTTGTGACTGCTTGTGCCAGGTCATGGTCATTACTTACATGAACCATGGACTGTTCTTGGAACTCTTTCCTTCAGTTGTTCTTTGTAATGTTTTCTTTACTGAATACTGTCAATGCCAAGTTGCTTGAGGCCAGTGCTGGCCACTCAATAAGACTTGCAGTATTAAGATTCTGAGTAGTTACACAGTGGAGGCTACAGAGAGAATCCTACTTCTTTCAGACTAGACGTGGTGAGATGGTCTCAGCAGAGAGCCTCCTGGGCCTGGGGCATGGCAGCTGGGGGAGGACATGACATCACGGCTGTTTTCAGATCAACTCAGGAACCTGCCCTGTGTTCAGTAGTGCCTTTGGCCATACCTCATTTCTGCCTTTTCCCCATACCTGACACTTTACTGACTTGGCATTTCATCTGTGACTTCCGGTTGCTGACCACCTTCACCTTTGTAGTTTCCATGCATCACCTGTTAACTCTGCCCTGCTCCCTCTACAGTGTTCTTCTACATTGACCTGTGCGTGTATCATGAGGTGTGCATATATCCTTAAATAGTCCTGGAACCCCAGTTACTCAGTTCCAGTTGAATTTTACCAGGGCAGGACACAACCAGCCTTCCCCACAGCAGAAGGTTTTTGGCAGAGAAATGAGTTGGAGACCTTGGCTCCGCATCATGTGGTGCACCCCATCCTTGTGTCCTTTGTCTGGTGAGGTCTCCCCTATTCTATGATCTTCAGAGGCTGCCCACTGCTGCCAAGCAGCCACTTCCTCAGTTTGCCCCCAACTCCCTTGTTTTTAGAACAAACCCATGATTCATTCTCAGTTGTGTCTCACACACCTTTGTAATTGGTCTTTTCTCTCCCACCAAAGTCAACATGCATTTCCTCAGCGTTTTTCTGCTTTCAGGTTGTTGGCATGGAACAGAAGATGAGGAGGCCCCTTCTGAGCAGAGTTTATCTGTAGAAGCAGAGTCACAGGTCAGGGTTTCTAAGGCAGGTCTATCCACCTGGAAGATCCACCCCTGTGAGATGTGTGTCCCCATTTTAAAAGATACTTTGCACCAAGCTGAGCACCGAACAATATGCTGTTTTAGGAAACCAGACTGGGGTGGTACATGTTTGAGACACTTCTGTTCCAGTGCAGACTTTCACTGGCAGCAGAAGGATGACAGTGGAGAGAAGCCCTGGGAAAGAGATGTGGAGAGGGTCTCATTTGTGAGGAGCTGCAACCTCTTTGTGTCAGGGAAGCCTTTCACCAGTAGGGAAGTTGGGGAGGACTGCCCAGCCACCTTGGGCCTTCTCCAGCACGAGGCCACAAGCAACAGTGAGGAATCACAGACTGGCAGAAAGGGTGAGCAGGCCTTTCACAGTGAAAAAAGTCATTACAAGTGGGGTGAATGTGAAAAAGTTGACAGCCACAACCACAATCTTGTTCAAGATCAAAGCCTCTGCTCTAAAGAAGGACTTTATCAATGTAACAAATGTAGTAAAGGCTTCAACTGCAACTACAGACTTATTCAGCACCAGCAAATTCACACTGGACAAAGGCCAGGTAAGTGTGGTGAATGTGGGAAATTCTTTAGCCAAATCTCTGGCCTTGTTAAACACCAGAGAATTCACAGTGGTACAAAGCCTTCTGGATGCAGAGAATGTGGAAGATTATTTACCCACAACTTTAGTCTTACAAAACACCAGAGAATTCACACTGGAGAAAGGACTTGTGAATGCAGAAAAGACTTCAGTCACAAATCCAAACTCATTCACCAACAGACACAACTTACTGGAGGAATTCATTTTAAATGTGGTGAATGTAGGAAATTCTTTAGCTACAAATCCAAGCTCATTGAACACCAGAGAGTTCACACTAAAGAAAGACATCATGAATGCACCAAATGTGGGAAGACTTTTAGACACAGCTCTAGCCTTTTCCGGCACCAAAGAGTTCACACTGGAGAAAGGCCTTATGAATGCAGTGAATGTGGGAAATCTTTTGGCTACAAAAATGACCTCATTCAACACCAGAGAATTCACAGTGGAGAAAGGCCTTATGTGTGCAGTGAATGTGGAAAGTCTTTTAGAAAGTTGTCTAACCTCATTCGTCACCAGAGTGTTCATACTGGTGAAAGACCTTATGAGTGCAATGTTTGTGGAAAATCCTTTAGTCGCAGATTTGTCTTCATTGAACATCAGAGAGTTCACACTGGAGAAAGACCTTTTGAGTGCACTGAATGTGGAAAATCCTTTACCCGAAAATCTGAGCTCATTCAACATCAGAGAGTTCATTCTGGCACAAGACCTTATGAGTGCAGTGAATGTAGAAAATGTTTTAGACAACACTCTGGCCTTACTCATCACCAGAGAATTCATTCTGGAGAAAAGCCACATGAGTGCAATGAATGTGGAGAATCCTTTAGCCAAAACGCTAGCCTTACTCAACATCAGAGAGTCCATACTGGAGAAAAGCCACATGAGTGCAATGAATGTGGAAAATCCTTTAGCCGAAGTGATATTCTCATTCAACACCAGAGAGGTCACACTGGTGAGAGGCCTTATGAGTGCAGTGAATGTGAAAAGTCCTTTAGCTGGAAATCTAGCCTCCTTAGACACCGGAGAGTTCACACTGGAGAAAGACCTTATGAGTGTAGTGAATGTGAGAAATCATTTAGCTGCAAATCTAACCTCCTTAGACACCAGAGAGTTCACACTGGAGAAAAGTCTTAAATGTTCAGGGAATGTTTTATTTCCTCACTCAGGATAACAACACTGGAGGAGACTGTGTGAGAGCCATTTACCTGAATTTAAACCTCTCTAATTCAAGCATACATCATGAAAGATTCCACATAAGTTTCAGTTACATCTGCAACTTTAAGGAAATACATTGTACTTTCTAACCTGCCCAGAGCTGTTAGATTTATGTCACACTCAGTTTTTGACTGAAGCCATTTCACCTCTCTACATCAGTCACCACTCCAACAGTCTCAAGAAAACCAACCTCTGTGTTCTCACATTTGCTTAAGGAAGTTATAAATAGCCCAGACCCTTAGCCAGATCTCCATTCCTTTCTGTCTGATTTTCCAGGGAATGGACCTGACCCAGTTTTGGTTCAAAGGACCTATACTCAGCTTTCTAAGAAGAACTACCTTTTTCAGGGACATTATTGTTCTCATATCATACTAGTGATGAATTTTTCCAGGTTCTAATTTACTAACCTGGGAACTGCTTGCTGCACATTGCTCTGGTTTGTGATCTTTTGAAAGGCCCGCTCTTGCAACTTTAATTTTGGCAGATCTATTCTCTCATCCACAGGGGTTTGGAAGCAGAATTGTGATCGATGAGAATGTAGGAGTGAACAGATTTTGTGGGAATCCCAAACTTTCTGGGCTTTCTGGGACCTTATGGCAGGAAATAAATAGCTTTTTGTCCAGCTGTGGTCTAACTTGCATTGCTCCCCAAGGCCTTGCAAGAAAGACTGCAGGATCTTGTGGTCCTAATTGGTGGGCTGCTGCCAGGATTTTTGGAGAGGTCGGAAAGTCACCCTAAAGAGGAGGCCGTTGTTTCGAGGACCCCCAGTGCTTCTGTGAGCAACATGAAAATTTTATTCCCTTGTTTACATACTTCCTAGTCCCACTGAGGGGGGCTTTTCCCCAGGTTCTGTGCCATGATATACAAATTTTCATAGGCTAGTGTCATTTATTGTTAGACTATAAGGATCAGGTAGAGTCATTATTGGTGTTACTCAGCCAAACTCAAGTTCACTTGCCCAGGCGTAGCACAGCCAGCCTGCTGACTCCAGGTTGTGGTGAAGTGAAGCACAGCATTTCCTGCAGGGGACTGAGCGAGGAGAGGGCTTCCCAGGTGGCTCAGTGGTGAGGAGTCCACCTGCAATGCAGAAGAAGCAGGTTCAGTCCCTAGAGCTGGAAATTCTCTTGCCCAGAGAATACCATGGACAGAGGAGCCTGGTGGGATACAGTCCATAGAGTTGCAAAGAGGCAGACATGACCGAACGGACTGAGCACGCATATACAGAAGCAAGGAGAATAGGCAGCTAATGTTCAAAAGACCTGAACTCCCCAGTGGATTTCAGGGAAGAGTTTTTAAAGGCAACATCTGAGTTGCTGTTGCTGAGTTGAGTGTTGCTGCTCATGGACTTTCTTCTGATTGCTTAGTATTGAGTTAACAGGGTGATGTTTCAGTTTTCTTAATCATCAACCTGCTAGTTTCAACCAGGCTGGGGTCTGTGTGCTTGTGATCAGCACGTAGTCATCATCTTCCACCTGGGTGGGGGTCTTCATTTCCACAGAACAGCTCAAAGGTATGTGTCAGATTGTTCTATGTATCCCTTGAGGAGGAACTAGGACTGTTTTATTGCTGAGCTATTGTTTATGATGGGCTTCCCAGGGGGCTCAGTGGTAAAGAATCCACCTGCCAAGCAGGAGACGTGGGTTTGATCCCCGGGTCGGGAAGATCCCCTGGAGAAGGAAATGGCAGCCCGCTCCAGTAGTCCTGACTGGAGAATTCCATGGACAGCAGAGCCTGGTGGCTACCGTCCATGGGGTCGCAAGAGTCAGACAGGACTTGGAGACTAGACAGCAGCAATGCCAGCATTGTTTAAGCTGTCATTACTTTTCTTTCTTGACTGCTTTTCCTTTGTTTCTATAGTCCCTCACTTCCTTAATTAGGAGCTGCTTGAATCTGTTCTTTGGAACTCAGGGAAAGCCTTGGAAACTAAAGCCTTTTTCTATCAATACTAACAAACAAGGGACATGGAGGAACTTTTATGCCCAGGAGAACCCACAGAGTCCTGCTTTTATTTGATAGTCCTCAATCCTGAGTGGAACAGGGACAGGACAAGAAAAGGAATAAAATTTTGAGTAGAGATGTTAACCATAAATTTGCAGGGGAACTCAGTTTTAAAGGGGGCTGGTTTCATTGGTGCAGAAGCACCAGATTATTAGGGGGTTGAGAAGATGGCAGTAAATTAGACAGAATATGCCTCTTCTGAAAGTTTATCCAGAAATGTTCCAGTGACCACATACTATGGGATCAATGTGTAAGAAATTCTTGGGACCTCTGTAACTGTATTTCCTATAGGTGAGCTTTGTGGGCTTCTATAGCATTTCTGTGCTGTTCCCTCAAGGCCACTGCTCTACTGGTAAGAAAACAAAGATAGAAGGGCAATCCTGTAGTCCAAGGATATGTCTTTTGTGACCCAGTCAGCAGTTCTGTTGATTCAAGTGGCAATATTGCTTGCCAATATTTGCTGCCACTGAGGCAAGGCTGCTTCCCAGGGCATAAGGAAAGAGGTGGTAGAGACCATACAGGGTTCCCAACCTAATTAACCAGGAGAAGTGGGACATCTAGGCTTTTATTTGGAACCACTTTAAGGCTTTATGAAGATTTAGCAAAGGGTAAGGTAACCCTTGAACAACATGGGTTGTATAACTGACATACTACAAAGTGCACTTACCTAATGGGTATGATTTGATCAACTTTGACATTTGTGTAAAGCTGTGAAACCATCATCACAATCATGAAAATTAAAATTTAACTCTCACATATTTACCTCATGCCCTTTTGGAATTTCATTCCCTATTCTCAGCCCTACAGATAATCATTGATTCATTTACTTATTTTCCTTTATAATAGGTTAGTTTGTTATTTCTGTAATTTTAAATAGGCATCATAAGATGTATATCCTTTTTTAAAAAACTGATTTACTTCATGCTGCATGATTATCTTGTGATTCAACAATGATGCTTATATGAGTTTTTTTTTTTTTTAATTGCTGAGTAGTCTTCTGTTCTTTGGATAACCACTTTATTTATCCATTCATCTGTGTATGGACATTGGGTTATTTCCAGGTTTGAGGTATTACAAATAAAACTGCTTTAAATACTTGCATTCGTTCTTTGTAAGACTATGTTGTATTTCCCAGACTGTTACTTGTGTAGGTAGATGTTTAACATTTTAACACCTGCCCATCTCTGATCTAAAGCGTTTGTTCCCTTTTGTCTTTTTACTGACTGTGTTTGAGAATTGCAGTTCCTGTACAATGTAGCCAAGGCTTGATATAGTTGATCTTTTAAAATTTTAGGCCTTAAAATGAGTGTGTGGTTGTAGCTCTTTGGTTTTATTTCCATTTTCCTAAGAATTCATGATGTTGGGCATTTTTTCATGCATTTATTTGCCCTCTGTTTATTTTCTTTGGTAAAATGACTACTTATAACTTTTGATTACTTTCTTTTTATGTGTTTACTTATTATTTTAACAAATAAGACAGTGTAGCAACAAACACACATGCTGGAATTCCACTCTTTCTTCGGCAATGTGACTTCTTTATCTTATGGTACAGTTGTTTTTGAATACTGGAAGGAAACTATTTGTCCTCAGTTTTCTGCCCTGTGTACAACCTGAAGTCCGCATGCACCATATGCTTTTATATTTAATCAGCATTAACACATTCTCCACTACATTCTTCAGACTAAATATTCAGTAATACATTAAATCAGTCCTAGGTTTGTAGTCTTTGTGTTAATTTCCCTGGTGTAAATATTCATATCATGGTCAATTTCTTTTTATCTTTTTTTTTTTTTATTGTCATGGTCAATTTCAAACTCCCAAAATGGTGTCACTGAACATGAAGTTGGTAAGATATTTCAGTAGCACATTATTAATTATTTCCAACATGCTGATACAGTAGCCACAAATAACCTCAAAAAACAGATAATAACAAAAGTGTCAAGTGATTAGAAAGTGTCATGTTTTAAATATTTGCTTTTTAAAAACAGTTTGATTTAAATTAACTTTGGGAATTCCCTGGCAGTGCAGTGATTAGGACTTGGCAATTCCATGCTGTAGGCCTAGGTTCAGTGTTTGCTCAGGGAATTAAGATTCTGCAAGCCGCAAGGCAGGGCAAAATAGGTGTGTGTATGTCTGTGTCTGTGTGTGTGTGTGTGTTTGAGCAAAATCCAGAAGATAGTAGAGGACAGAGGACCCTGGCATGCTGCAGTCCATGGAGTCGGAAAGTTGGATATGACTTAGTGACTGAACAACTTGATTAGCTTGAACTGTACATATTTAAAATGTACACTTTGTATTGATGTATGGCAAAACCCATCACAATACTGATAAGTAATTATCCAATTTAAATAAATAAATTTTTTAAAATGAAACACATATTTTGATATTTCCATACATGCTTGCATCCCTGAAACCAGATTTTCTCCTGCCTATTTCTGTTTATCTTTTCATTTATCTTTATGTGTGTATAAAATTATACACACATATTCTACGTTTTGTAATGGCTTTTTTCACATGTATCCATAAATAGAAAAGACTGCTATGAAACCCCGTGAACACTTTCCCAGTCTTCATCATGATGTATCATTCTCATTGTTCTTTATCTCCATGTAGATTAGCGGGTTACATTTACTTTATAATCCCAGATATGTCAGTGTATAACCTCTTCAGCATGCATTTCTAAAAATGTAAGAACTCATAATTTTAATAGTTTGGTACACAGTCTTCATACTTACAGCTCTTTTAACTGTAAATCAGCCTTTTCAGCTTCAGTTTGAAGGCTAGCAATTATCTTCTCATAATTCTTTTCAGGATCATCAAAGACGGTCTGCGTAATCCCTCTTGATACAGGATGCTTAAAATATCCTAAATGTTAAGGGATTCAGGCTTTTGAAATTTCTACTAACTCAGCTTCACCAATGAATACATGCACCAGAGTTAGGCCAGTTGCTACTGGAATCCGAGTCAACAAAATGTGGGATTTCACTAAATTCACAAAATGACCGTCATATACAAATATTTAATCATCACATTGTACACCTGAAAGTAATATAATGTATGTCAATTATATCTCGACTTTCTGTTCTGTTTAATCTGTTCACCCTTCCCCCATATTTCCCCATTAGTATAGTAGATATTGCCTGAGGTCTTTTCCAGAGGGACAGTTTTGTGATGATGACAAAGCAGTGAACACAGTGTGTCTTCTGCTTCCACCTCATATGCCACATGGTACAATAGCTGGTGACACTGCATCATGGCTCAGAGATCTGCAGCACACGTGTGTGGAACACAGTGGGTTAGGTGTGAGATACACACCTCAGCGCAACCTGAGGGTGCTCCATGAACAGGCTGGGGACACCAGCCTAACAGGTATGGAATGCTGATGCATCTCACTGCCTGGAACCAGACTTGTGCATACCACATCCACGTTAGAGAAGATGCATGGCAAACACAGACCACACACTCTGGTGCCTGTAAAGCATGCCAGGGACCTGTGAGATGAGTGGAGGTGCTTACACTACCGCAGCCATGGATTGTTGGGACAGACGTGTGATAGGGACACCCAATGTCATATGTGAGCCACTCACAGTCTACATTCTCCTTTAGATTGTGGGGTGTTGGGTG